ATAATATGAAAAAGCAAATAGTAAGATATTTCCTGCTATAGGACTTCTGAAGAAGTAAAACTAAAAACAAGGCTGCAACAAAGAAAACAGGTACAAACATAATAATGACCCACAGCACACACACATAGACACACATTCATTAAATATTTATTGAGTTCTTGCTACATAGGAGACTCTATGCTAAAAAGATACTAAGAGAAAGAAGGCAAATTCCTGTGCTCAGAACATTTAAAAGATCACAACAGAAATAATATACATATTCCAAGTACTACAGATTAAAAAGAAAAAATACTAATAAGTTTTAATAAGAGCAAATATGTTCTTTTCTCTACCTTATTTGTAAGAATACAGTATATAAAAATATGTATTGATCAACTGTTTATGTTATTGTTAAGGCTTCTGGTCAACAGTAGGCTATTAGTAGTTACGGTTTGCGGGGTCAGAGTTATGCATGGATTTTCAACTGCACCCCCAACCTCTGTGTTTTTCAGAGGTCAACTGTGGTTGGGTGTAGGAGACCAACTGAGGGTAAAAGTGGAAAGTATCCTAAACTGTTAAGAACTGGAAGATGCCTTAACCATCACATAGTCTAGCTCTTTAATTTCTGACAAAGAAAATGAAGCCCAGAAAGAAGAAATGAGTGGAGCATGACTCTCAGGACCATGACTGGCAGATCCAGGCTGGGAGCTCTGTTCTTTTGATTCTCAGGCCAGAAGTTTCTGTATTCTACCAATTTATATGATCAGATCATAGAAAGACTTTATATTTAAGTGATGGTAAACTACAAAAGGGTTTTGCACAGGGAAGGAAGACCTAAATTTGAACTCAAATCCTAGCCTGCAGTTGTGTGATTTGGGAGGATTTTGCTTAACCTCTTTAAATTCAGTGTGTTCCTCTGTAAAAAGGGAATAATAAAATGCCTTTGTTATAGGGCTGCTTTGAGAAGTCAGTGAGGTGCCTTATACATAGCAGGTGCTAAATAAATGGTGAACGCAAATTTTCATCTCCTTCCCTCTCCCACTATTTTTCTTTCTTTCTTTCTTTCTTTTTTTTTTTTAGCTTTCTTTCCTTTGCTGGCTCCCTCTTCCTCTTGTTCTTCCTTTATGAAATAGAAAGGTGGAGAAAAGCAGACATTGACCCACCCCATGACCACGTGCAGGGTGCTTCTGCCCAATATCTGTATCTCTTGATTGAAGGTTGCCTTAGAAGGGTGCTCTGCCCAAGCTCATGACAGGCCAGAATGCCCATAACCCCCAGAGGAGACCTCGAGCAATGGCTGAAGGGATTGGGTGTATAAATTCCTCAGCATCTTTGTTGACACACAGGTAAGATTCCTCTGAGGCACATATTCCATGTCATTTCCTAGGGTTTCCCCTCAGAATTGATCTCTGGTCCCTTCCAGATAGCACAGCCTTACTTGTCTGCTTACTCTTCCCAGTCTCACCTCTCTACTCCCCTTTGACCTTCAAATAAACGAGTGGCACATGAATATTTATCTGCTTTTGGGGTATTCCACACTAAGGTGGAGTGTGATCATAAAACAAGGAACCAGGTCCTAGAAGATCAGGGAGGAATGGGAATAAAATCATAGATTTAGGGGATTGTCCAGGGGAAGAAGACATCTTAGAGGGTTACAACTGCCCACGTACTGACTTCCAAGCTAATGCTCTTACACTTGTCATCCTGCCCTCTCATTGTTTCTTGACATTCCAGGCCTGAGTACCAAAATATCAGAAGTCTCATTATAATGTCTACTGGGAAAATCCTGACTGGCTCAGCTACTGGGCTGACCTTTCCATCCCAAAGCTGATAATCTCTCTGGCTTCTTGATAGTAGAATGAGGAGGAGGAAGTCACCAACGCTAACATGCACCATGATTCTGGGAACAAGGGTATTCCCAAAACACAAACACCAATAACTGTCATTTTCAGAATTACTGTAGTGGTGCTGGTAATGAAGGCAGCCCAGAGTAGTGGCCTGCTTATCTAGAAGACAGTGACTTTGGCACTATGGACATGGGCTGGTCCAGGAAAAGGCTTTTCTCTGAGACTGCATGAACTTTACCAACAAAAGCAGAGAACTCTTACAGTTTAGCCTTGCCCTTAGACTGAGGAGAGTGCTGCCTTGAGCACGGCAAGTCTGGTCTTTGGCTCTTTGCCTACTGTCTCCAGTTTATGCACCCATTTTCTAACTAGACCTTCTTTGTGCTACAAGGCAGAATTCCAGAGGTGTTGCTGCACACAAGGTGGACAGGAGGGATGTCTTTAGCAGACTCCCATGAAAATATCTTTTGAAAGTCTAGAACATTAAGAGAATGAAACCAATTTTTTTGATGTTCAAATGGACCTTCTAACATACCAGGGAAAAAAGACATTCCAGTTTTAGGGATGGTTAAGGTAGACTTTCTGATGAGATTATCATTAATACTGCCTTCATGACCAGATGACAATGAAGCCTTTTCATGCAGTAAATATCTAGATTACACAAGTAGTGTGAGGAAATAGTTTTCTAACACTTTGACGTTTAGTGTGTAATTTGTGTGTTTGATTTTTAAAATGGTGTTATAAATATGGGCAAATCCAAGTTAGACCCTTTAAATATTTATTGATTTATTTTGGGTAATTTACTTAGAAAGAAAAATACTGTTTTATAATTCCTGAAAATATTAACCAATCAGTTTAAAATAATTTTATAAAATGTGAAAAATAAGTAAAAATACTAAAATATAAATTAACTTTTACAAACAAGTACCAGAAAAATGATATCCAAACCAAATACTTTCTGAGGAAAAGACTTAAAATGAATTGCAGCATAGCAGCCTCCCTCTAGCCACCCCCTTTGATCTCCACATGCATGTGCCGAATCTCAGCTGGTCTGCCCAAGACTCCCCGAACACCAGTCCTAGTCCCCAAGCTATCCCACTTCTGTCCCAACAAGATGAAATAAATTATCACAAACCAGGAGCAACTCGCTAAACTCTAGGCACAAGTTGTCATTGGTGGGTAAGGAAAATGGTTCATAGAACAGCTACAACAGATGACAAATAACTTGTTTTCCTTAAAGACATTAGAGGTAGACAATCTCTCCAGTATGGAAGAGATGAATATATTCCCGAACCAGGGAACAGTGATCTGCTTTAGCAACTGTAATGTCGAGCATCTCCGGCAGCGAACACTTCCACCATCACAGAAGCTGACAGAAATGCCACTCAGCATCTGAAGCCAGCTGAGCGCAGACACTGACTAGTCTAAGGAGACTGGATGAAGCTCTGTTCAGACAACATGGCGATGGAGAAACACCATTGCCTACAGGAGAAGAGGAGGATGCTCCAGATCTTGTAGAGAAATTTGATGAGGCTTCCAAGAATGAGACAAACTGAATTGAGTCAACTTCCGAAGAAGATTAAACCTGAAGTTACTGGTAGCTGCTGCTTAAAATGTTCATGGAGCTGATAAAATCTAGACTGCTAATGTTTTGAAGCCCAAGTCCTTGGACACTGCCACTCTTTTCTGTTTTTTTTTTTCTTATACACAATTCATTCTTTGCAGCTAATTAAACGGAAGAATAAAGTTTGAAACAAAGGTTAATAAAGGTCTTTGCCTAGTAAAAAATAATATTTTCAAAAGAATGGTAGCATACGAATTGTAAAATGGTTCCATGATATGCAGAAATCATAGTTTTTTTTAAAAAGCCGTAACTAGAAAGATTTTTATTTTCAGCCAATTTGTGATTTGAACAAATTTGTTTTAAAGCAATTCACTTGGAGAAATTTTGGTCATAAAATTCATACAGGGCAGTTGCTCATTTTTACCAGATGTTAATGCAGGATCAAGTGACATTCATGTGCATGATTTCCAAAGGGATATAGTGAAAACTAGAAGTAAAGACTGGGGGAGGGGAGGTGATGATTGACACATGGGTGGGAGTCTTCACACTTATCTGGTATACTGTATTTTTGGATGTCCTAGGGTTTTGGGGTAGCATATACAGAACCGTAGCATGCAATTACTTAGCTGGTGGGCAGAGAAGGCCTGAGTTATGGGCATTGGTGTGGTGGAGAGATGTTCCTCAAATGGAAGCTCTTCAACATGATATCAGGACTGAACAGACAATGCAAAGGGTGACCCTCTTTCATGCTATTGCATGAGAGATTTTGGTACTGTAGTCTATGGGTTATTTCCTGAAGGAAAGTAGAAAGGGTAAGTCATAATAAAGCACTCTAGAGAGCAAAATAGTGTCTGCACAAGCTACAGACCCAAAATAGACCTGGGTGTGTCATAAACACTAATATGATTTGTATTTCACATTCCTTTGGTGGAGATAGAGGTACAAATATACTTACTGTAAAAAAGAAAGCAAACAGAGACAGAGAGAGACCTGAGATGTTTTTATAGATCATTATGACATTAGTTACCTCAGGCTTGAGAACACCAAAACTAGGAAAGGACACCTGGTCAAATTCTTTGCAACTTCTGAGTCATAAAAAACTTGTGACTAGAACTGTACATTTCATATTACTAAATTGGAGCCCATAGGAGGTTTTAGATGACGGGTTCTTGGTGAAATGATCAGAGGATGTCCTTTCATCTGACGGTGCTAACTGAAAAGGGAGTCAATTTTTTACAACAAAGGTAGCAGGCTGAGCAGAAGGGTGCCTTTGAAATTTGAAAGTGAAACTCAGCATTACAAGCCTAAATGTATCCGGTGAAAAACAATCTGTGAGCTGTGAAACTGCAAAACAATTTGTGGATCATTCAGTGAAGTCATTTCATGCTCTGGGCTCCTTCTTCAATAGGACTATGATGTTGACATATTGATTGGGTATTTTCTTTCTAGTTTCTATTCTCTTGAAGGCAGATGAATTAAAGGTTGCATAAAATAAAACTTTTGGTGGCAGGAATGTAATTATCATATTTTCCTAAATTTTTCTACTTAAAAAACTTATGAGGGAAATGAATCAATGTTTTTGTATACATTCTGTACTCTACTCTTCATTTCAGCCCGTGTTTATCTCTCCCCACATTCCTGACACTCGGAAGGCCATGTTTGCTTGGCCTTTCTATATCCTGTAAGTATCATGTTGCAGAGTGATCTGGTAAGTTAATTCACACTAATAAGACAGGAATTTATTGGGTTATCTTTTTATGTGAATTTGCCTTTCAAAGAAATCTAGAAAGAGACTAATGAGAGTTTATTCCAAAAGCATGAATTGATAATGGTGGATTCTTAAACCAGAAATATCTCAGGAAGTTCATACACAACCTCTTCCACTTTCACCAGCCTGTCCCTAGTACCTTCTCAGATAAAACACTGTTGTTCCTTGCCCCAGGATTCAATTGTATGTACATTGGAGATAGAATATTTTTTCTGCTTTTGCCCGCAGTGATGATAAAATAGTAGAAAGAATTGTAGTAACACGTTTGTGATTAGAATCAGGATGCTGATCTCTAATGTACCCCAGAGAATTTTTCTCCTAAGTAATAGAGGAGGGAAAATTTTACCAACGTGTGACTCAGCTAAAGCTATACACAAGTATCTTATTACATTGAGGCATTAGAATCAATCAGGTCATTTTTCAAAATGTATGAAAAATTACAATAGCATCAGTTCATCAGTAACAACATTCACAAGCCAATTACTTCATTGCAAATCACCTTTATACATGGCCAACCATTATACATATATAAATAGTTAGAGACCTATAGTGTTACAGATTAGATGATAGAGATAGATGATAGATAGATAAATAGATGACAGAGACATGGGTAGAGATATAAATTTTTTTTCATAAGACATACTTTCATACAATTTATTTTAGTATATAATTGTTTGCTGTTTTTATCTGTTGACCTCATGCTACTGCTGCTGGCTTATATAACTCTTCTGTAGGCCCACCTTGCTGTCATCCTTAGTGAATACAATGTTTACATGGGAAGATCATTTAAAACTCTGGCTTCTCAAATTCTTGATCTTTTTCACTCCAAGGGCCTTAATTTATATTCCACATAAATCACATACTCCAATGGTCACACCCAAGGCCTTGAATCGCTCACCCATGCTCTCCCAGTTAAATCTTAACCTCAGATACCCTAACCTCTGCAGGCTCTGGTCCTCCAATTCTACCTCTCAGTTATTTTAACTATACCCTATTTCATACTTCTTCAAGACCACCTCCTAGTCCCCACAAATTCAGCTGCTTCTTGTCCCCTTCCTTTGCAGCTTAAACTACATAATTTATCACTCTTAATATTCTCTTGCTAATTTGATCAACATTCTTGCCTATTAACCCTCCACTAGAACAGCTTGATAAAACCTGAAGTATTTGTCATATATATCAGTCCAACTGTTTTCCCTCTATATTTTTATGTCCAGTCTGCTGAGCAAAACTGGTGTCATGGTAAAAATGTGGCTGTCAACCTTGACTGGGTCCTCATTGCTGCTAAACAGTCAATATTTCCTTAGTTTTAGTTTCTATCTTTATTCATGACTATTTAAGAGCTTATCCTCTCTCAAGCCTCTGGCCTGAACACATTTTCTTACTGATTCAACAAATTACCTCTCTTTCCTTTTACTATGCCAAAAATGTAGCAGTCTCTAGGTAGGAACTCCTCGTGTCCATGCAACCCCATCTACAAACTTATCCGCATCTGCACTTACCTTTGCCTTCTTACTTTGGATTTCTGTAAACACCTGTTCTTTGTGTAGTCAGCTTTCCCACCTGTGTCCTCTATCCTGTTCCATTCCTGTCTCCTCAGGGAACTTAAACCATCAGCTTGCCTTTTTTCTGCTTTTGCCCGCAGTGATGATAAAATAGTAGAAAGAATTGTAGTAACACGTTTGTGATTAGAATCAGGATGCTGATCTCTAATGTACCCCAGAGAATTTTTCTCCTAAGTAATAGAGGAGGGAAAATTTTACCAACGTGTGACTCAGCTAAAGCTATACACAAGTATCTTATTACATTGAGGCATTAGAATCAATCAGGTCATTTTTCAAAATGTATGAAAAATTACAATAGCATCAGTTCATCAGTAACAACATTCACAAGCCAATTACTTCATTGCAAATCACCTTTATACATGGCCAACCATTATACATATATAAATAGTTAGAGACCTATAGTGTTACAGATTAGATGATAGAGATAGATGATAGATAGATAAATAGATGACAGAGACATGGGTAGAGATATAAATTTTTTTTCATAAGACATACTTTCATACAATTTATTTTAGTATATAATTGTTTGCTGTTTTTATCTGTTGACCTCATGCTACTGCTGCTGGCTTATATAACTCTTCTGTAGGCCCACCTTGCTGTCATCCTTAGTGAATACAATGTTTACATGGGAAGATCATTTAAAACTCTGGCTTCTCAAATTCTTGATCTTTTTCACTCCAAGGGCCTTAATTTATATTCCACATAAATCACATACTCCAATGGTCACACCCAAGGCCTTGAATCGCTCACCCATGCTCTCCCAGTTAAATCTTAACCTCAGATACCCTAACCTCTGCAGGCTCTGGTCCTCCAATTCTACCTCTCAGTTATTTTAACTATACCCTATTTCATACTTCTTCAAGACCACCTCCTAGTCCCCACAAATTCAGCTGCTTCTTGTCCCCTTCCTTTGCAGCTTAAACTACATAATTTATCACTCTTAATATTCTCTTGCTAATTTGATCAACATTCTTGCCTATTAACCCTCCACTAGAACAGCTTGATAAAACCTGAAGTATTTGTCATATATATCAGTCCAACTGTTTTCCCTCTATATTTTTATGTCCAGTCTGCTGAGCAAAACTGGTGTCATGGTAAAAATGTGGCTGTCAACCTTGACTGGGTCCTCATTGCTGCTAAACAGTCAATATTTCCTTAGTTTTAGTTTCTATCTTTATTCATGACTATTTAAGAGCTTATCCTCTCTCAAGCCTCTGGCCTGAACACATTTTCTTACTGATTCAACAAATTACCTCTCTTTCCTTTTACTATGCCAAAAATGTAGCAGTCTCTAGGTAGGAACTCCTCGTGTCCATGCAACCCCATCTGCAAACTTATCCGCATCTGCACTTACCTTTGCCTTCTTACTTTGGATTTCTGTAAACACCTGTTCTTTGTGTAGTCAGCTTTCCCACCTGTGTCCTCTATCCTGTTCCATTCCTGTCTCCTCAGGGAACTTAAACCATCAGCTTGCCTTTTTTCTTTTTTGTAAACTTTTTCTTCTTTATATGTTGTTTTCTACTAATATTCTTTTTCCTTATGGTTATGCTTTTGGAAATCTTAATAATTCTTTACCCCAAAGTCATGAATATATACATACTTACTTTTTTTTTCTACATAGTGTGAGGTAGGGATCAAGTTTCACATTTTTCATATAGATTTGAATTGCTCCAACACCATTTATTGACTCTGGGTTATCTTTTTATGTGAGATAAATGGCGTTTTCCCCAATTTGTGGTAAATCAAGTGTCTGTATATGCATCTTAGCCCCATAATTCTTTACTTTCTTGTTAGCTCTCTGATACCATCAGGGAGAGTTTCTTTGTGGGAAAGGAAGAGGACCCCAGTGTTCTGATTGTCCTCAATGTTCTAGGACTTAGAGCTCTTAGAAATAGGCTAGTTTTAAAAAAAATAATTCCCAGTCTCTGATGAAATTCTCAATATTATCTTTTATCTCCCTAAAAGTAACAAGCAGAATTTTTCTAAAGTTCTGTCTGACAACCATAGTATCTGGTGCCCTTGTGGGTCTGTTTCTGTATCTGTTGTTTCTGTGGGTTCTCACCTATGTTACTTTGTCTCTCCATGTGTATGATTAATTATTTTTACCTGCTGGACTTTGTATTTGACAAATTTCTTGTAGACAGTATTTGAGGATAATATCATCATTCTCCAGAGAATTTTGCTTCTATCAGAGAGGGAGAATTTAAAACCTGGCTCCCCTGAAATCCAGTATCAGGCATCAGTCTGATTGAGTCTGGGCTGCATGCTACCATGCATATAGGTCTCCCTCTGCTGTACCTTACTCCTAGAGTACTCCTCCAAAGCAGGGAGTTTACAGGCACTGCCCCCTTGTTGGACTCAGAATATTTAGTCAGATTTAAAAATCTATACTCTTTCCAGAGAAATAATATTCCTCCACAGCACCATTTCTTTTAAGAGAAAAAAAAAGAAAATCTTAATGTGGAAATCCCAAATATAAAATAGATGAAAGCAGCAGTGCTCTGTTTGAAACTAGACAGTAGGTCCTGGGGCATGAAATTACATCTCCTTAGTTTTATCTTGCTTCTTGTGATAGTTCCTAAATTATCTCCAATGAATACATCTATTCTAGAATATGTTTTAAAAACCATTGAATTTTACTTATTATTTATTTATTATTTACTTACTGTCAGCTTTACCTCAATAAAGCTGCTTTTATTTATCAATTATTTTTATTTATTAATTATTGAAGTCTAGTTGATATAATATTGTATGTCTATATTGTATATAGTAATAATTATTATTAAATGCTCACCCCAAGTAGTGTACTCTCTGTCAACATACAGAGGTGTTGCAGAATTATTAACTGTATTCTTTATACTGTATTTTCATCCCCATGGCTACTTTATATTATGATTGAGATTTTGTGCCTCTTTACCCCCTTCACCTGTTTCACCCATCTACCCCAGCCCCTTCCCTGTGGTAGTCACGAGTCACTTTACATGGTCTATGAGTCTACTGCTATTTTGTTCATTTATTTTGTTTTGTTTTTGGAGTCTACATATAAGTGACATCATATGGTATTTGTCTTTCTCTGCCTTATGTATTTCACTTAACATAATACCTTCTAGATCCATCCATGTTGTTGCAAATGGCAGGATTTCTTTTTTATGGTGGAATAATACCCCATTTACATATGTACTGTGTCTTCTTTATCCATTCATCTATTGATGGACACTTTGGTAGCTTCCATAGCGTGGTTTTTGTAATGAAGCAATAAACACAGGGGTGCACATAACTTTTTTAAATCAGAGATTTTGTTTTCTTTGTGTAAATTCCTAGAAGTAGAATTGCTGGATTGTATGGTAT